ATAAAGGATAACAACTAGGGAGAATGAGCTGAATAATCATATTGGGCCCAAATATGAAGAATATAGCTATGGCTTTTTGGGAATTAAGTGAATGACGGTTTGACTATCTTACTGCCGTTTCTACCCTGCGAGGAGACGCTATCAACGTGGATTGGGTTGAGGACGTGTACAACCTTGCGGACGTGGGGAAAAAATATCTTAGATGTGTGGGCTTACTTTTTCCTTTTCCCGCCTACACATGTCTTGTCTCTAACATAACACTTACTTATAATTTAATTTACAATACTGTAAATTCTCTTCTGGTCTTTTTCCGCCAACAGTAGCCATCGTCTACTTCATCCCTGATTTCACGATTCCGCTAAACCTATTTCTGATTCTCAATGGGATTCCGAAATATTGACACTGCAAAATCTCCTCTACCCTCACACTTAAACACACAACATAAACCGATTCTCTCTCCACTCGCCTTGGATTTCGTTCTTTGCTTAACAAATACACTCTCCTCTATATGTCAGCTTTTTTTTTTAATTAAAAAAAAAAAATTCCCCCACAATTACCAGCAAGGACGTCCACGAAGCCCACTATGTCGAGTCAATGTCAAAGCTAGATTTGGCACTGAGTATTTATATGTGAATTCGAAGAAGAAATTTTAGTCTTAAGAAATATTTATAAGCTCAACGATTAAAAGAAGAGTAGAGAGGAGCTGGATTTATATTGATACGAATCGAATATACAATAAAGTCTCGTCTGAGACGTATTACAAGCTGAAATGTAGTGTTAAGCTCTCGCGTATGTCAAAAGTTAGCGAAATCTGCTCGGACTTTGTCTATTTTTATAACTCCATTCAGCTCCTCGATCCAACTCCACGTTCTGAGGGCGGTTCCGCGTATCTCGGGCACGATCTCAGCATATTCTCCGCAAATCTCGCTCTTACGACTGAGATAACCGCTCTGTTGACTCGTTCCTACGACTGAGATAACCGCTCTGTTGACTCGCTCCTACCTCATCCTCAGCTCGTTATTCTCGTACCTGTTAACTCGGCCCCTTCGAGGCTGACCTGGGCCTTAAGACAAATAGCATCCAACTCTACGGGTTTGGCCGCATGCCCATCCATTCTGGTCAACGTTTCGCGAACACAAGTTTTGACCTGAGCTTTCATGTGGACCGGATTCGGTGACGAATCCAGCACCAACAGTCATCAAGGGTAGTTTCGGTATTCTTATAATTTATACACAATATATCGTAACCAAACCTTAATGTATTCATACACCTATTGTTATTGGTTTGATGTACATTTCTGCCAATTTCCCTAACAAGTATTTCTTGTTTGTCTGTTACCCAATTTTTTAGATTTTATATTTCTAAGACGTAAAGATTTAATCAGATTTAATCTCCAAAAAAAAAAGAGAAATTAGGTCATATATTAGTCTTCTTAGATATAATTTGGTATCTAACATTAGGTAAAAAATTAAATATTTACATAACATTAGGTCATATATTTACCTAGGTTCTTTATTTTTACTTTCCATTT